CGTTTTCCCATAGAGATGCATTGAAAACCAGTTAATCCGTTCCAATAGGCACGGATTGCCGTCCTTAAGCGAAAAAACCCATAGGAAACATCGTTAAGTGATACAATGTTTCCTCCATTGGAATGCATTGAAGCGTATTCAATGCATGTCAATGGTTTTGCGATGTCCATGTTTGCAAATTTAATTGTGTCTTAAAAGGTTCAAAAACTGTTTTAAATGCTTGGGTTCGTTAGAGCACCTTCTAAATCATGTGCAAACTTAGTTTGGCTTTGTTCTGAGTCTTCGTTAATTTTTTGTGAATTATTTTCTCCCCCATAGGAAAGCATGGAGCTGTCAAATTTTGACAGCTGTCAAAAGTTGGGGGTGGAAAAAATTCAGCAAAAATTAACGAAATGTCAGATCAAAGCCAAATTAAGTTTGCACCCGTTTTAGAAGGTGCACTAACGATTCCAAGCATTTAAAACATTTTTGAACATTTTAAGACTCTTTTAAAATTGAAAAAACGGACATCATTAAGCAAAACAGAGGACCTAAAAATGCATTCACTGTGTGAAGCATGGTCCCAAAATTGCTAAGCAAAAATCGCCCATAGGAAACATCGTTAAATGATGCATAGAATTCTTAAAAAACCCCATTGTTAAGCGAAAACATCGCTAAACCAGGCAATCGTTAAGCGAGGCACCACTGTAAAAGAATTTAAGGAGAGATGTCCTCATTTTCTCTTGTATATTACCATCTTTCTTAGACAAGGCTCTTGAATCATTTGTCATGATTTTTGGGAAATAGGACAACAGTTACGTACTTAATAATAATAATTAGAAAATATTGTATAAGTGAACTGACCCAGAAATCTTGTTAGGGGAGACTGTACCACTTTCTCTTTTGCTCAATAGCATGGAGAGATCTGAATCTCCTTACCTCTGATACTGAACAGTTGAGCTGGAATATCTGGCCCTCTCCTTCAACTTGCCGTATACAGAGTTTGCACACCAACTCCAGTGTGCTCAGGCTGAATCTTTCAAGGGTAAAGGTACAATGTAGATTTCTTTGACATCCACTCCAGATATGATAAAAGGGGATTTCCTGTTGAAGAAGTGACAATAATAAAAACAAACAGTCTTAACGGCTAACTTATTTACATCAATCCTAGAAAGATATAACACGAATATGACTAGGTTTAAGTGACTATTAGTGTTTAATGCTTAATTGTTTTTTAATATATAGCTTTGTATGGTATTTTAACTGTCATTTTTGTATTTATTTTAATTGTTGTGAGCTGCTTTGGGTCCCCTATGGGAAGAAAGATGACATACAAATAACATTAATTTAACTATTGTCGAAGGTTAAGAACAACCACCACAACAAGAATACTGAAGTTGCACAATATTTTGGTTGCTTGTGGTCCTATGGGGATGCTCCCCTAATTGGGCCATGAGCCTCATTTGCACTGCACAATTACCTGAATGAATTCTCTAATGCAAGAAATGGAGATAGTGATGGCTATTAGCATTGCTTAATTTGTTCTTGTTTCTCCCCTCATTGTGTCCCCACCGTGGCTATTCTGACTTTGAATGCAGTAGCTCTAAAGAGTGATTCCATGTTGCACCCAAATCAATCTATGTTTTATTTTTCATTAATCTATCTTTCAGCATTTTATACATTTTATGGTTTCCTGAACATTTGTTTGCTTTGGTATTTCTTTATTGGTCACCCTCTCTGTTCAAGAAGTTCTCAACATCCTGCAATAAATCGATATTCCAAATACATCCCTTTTTAAAAATTGTAACACATGTCAAAGTCCAAGATTCCATGCCATGAAATAAGACCAAGAGTACAGAGCACCACACAGCAGGCATTCTGAAGGCCAGTTTTAAGTTTCTGTTGTGTATTAGTCTTTGTGTCAAATAAGCTGCTCCAGGTCATCTCTATTACGGCTTTTACTTCATGGCTATGACCTCACTGTTTATCCACCTAAACCCCAAAGTGCTTACATTTGTCAATACTTTCATTTTGGATCCTTAACTGCATTCCTTGGGCTTTCACTTTTTACTGATTACCATGAAGATTTATTTAAATTAAAGCTCTGTGTTATGCAGTGGGGTGGGTGGGGGATATTATTCTTGTTACAGAAAATACATTCTACATGCTTGGCTAAAATAAAAAAAATTAAACAAGGCAGGTAACAATTGCAAATAGAAATTGGACATCTACAAAACAAGGTGGAAAGTGCTAGTTTCAAACTAAAAGCATCAAGAACAGCTTCGTGCCTCTTCCTAGTCATTGCATGTTGTTTTTTAACTATCCAGGCAGAAGCATAGATGGCTATGAATATCTCTAGTCCTTACTGTTGCAACCTTACTTAGGATGTCAGTTGGTACTTCTAGCACTCATCAGTTCATACCTGGTATTTAGCCAGCAGTTTGCTCTTCCAGAGGGAATGTGTGATATCATGAATGGATAAACGCAGGTTATGAGTGCTGCCCTTAAAATGTAAATCCTTTGGTTCTTCCAGGAGCTGTCCACCCATTTGCCTCTCCAACTGTAGCACTTCCTACATTTTGGGGAGAGAAAAAAAAACAAGTGTGGAGGGTTTAAAGATATATATATATACATCACCTAATAGACAAGGCAGATATGCCCAAAATATTTGAATTCCAGGCTGTGACGGCTGCGATGACGTCACCTGCCTATCAGCACTTCCTATATTTTGGGGAGAAAAAAAGTGTGGAGGGTTTAAAGATATATATATACATCACCTAATAGACAAGGCAGATACGCCCAAAATATTTGAATTCCAGACCAATTCTTTTCCACAGACTCAGTCACTTTAAAACTGACTATCAAAAGTACTTGCTTGCTAAAATCCTATTGTGCAGCTTCGCAGGAGCAGCAACAAACCAGAACTAAATAAGGGCTTCCCTTGGCAATTACAGGGTTCACACAAGTTAAGAGTAATGGAGAGTTAGAGTGAGAGTTAAGTTAGGGCATGAAGTACTGAGTTAGTTAAGGTCTGAGAGAGAGTGTGTATGAGGGGATACTTTATTATTACTGATTGCCTTTTTATTTTAGTTGATAAAGTGATTTACCATTCCTTTTGTTGTTATCAATAAAATACAAGTTTTTATTTTTAAAATCATACATTTGTCTGAAGAGTCTTATGAGGGAGTGGTTGGTGGCAGCGTAAATAAAGTGTGAATGAGAGAGAGTGTCCTGACCATTGTGACGTGAAAGAAGGACGTCACACAGGCCAATTCTTTTCCACAGATTCAGTCACCTTAAAACTGACTATCAAAAGTACTTGCTGGCTAAAATCCTATTGTGCAGCTTTGCATGAGCAGCAACAAACCAGAACTAAATAAGGGCTTCCCTTGGCAATTACAGGGTTCACACAACTTTTCTGTATTGTATATTGCTCATATGCACCTTGAAATTGCTTTTAATCAGTGGAGACTTGCCTTAAATCAATGCCAATTTGCTGCTGCTGCTAACATTATTCCAGTTGTGTGCACAGAGTTGTGCAACAGGATTTCAACCTGTATTTTGCCCTTCTTCAATGAAGCAGATATAAAGGAGAATTAACTTATTTTATCTCCACAGTGAACCCATGAGGTAGTTCAGAGCTATCGTGTACACAGTATGTTTTGTGGCTGAATGGATATTTGACTACATGGCCCTGTGGCCCAAGTCCAAACGTCCACTCACAATATGGCAGTCGCTTTCCACATAAAAAGAGTAATTTATTTTCAGACTGGTCATGAATTGAGCTGCTTGCTATTAACCAAAAGCTGGAAAACAGCAATTAGACCACTGCATTACAAGGAGGACATCTGTTGTACAGGCTTATCCCAGAAAAAGGACACAAAGCAGAATGTTTCAACACTGTAGGGAGTGCGCATAATCGTTATGCTATTGGAAGAAGTAGGAGCACACATTAGGCTAGTCTGACATTATCTGGTTTGCTAAATGGCTTGGGAGAGCTAAAGGTCAATGCCCCCACACACTTGTACATTGACAATATGTCATTCTGGATACTGTTCCATCTGAAGAATCTTGGAAGGTTTTTACTCTTTGGCTTCAAGAGAGTTTGAATTCATGAATGCCACTGGAAAGTCCTGGGTTGGTTCTTAAAGCTTTCAGGGCTTCATGCTAAATACGTTTCTAAGTTACGTTTGCATAATACAAGCCCTGACATTTCAGAGATGCAGAGATTGTTTTTTCCCCCCCCATAAGCACCTGGGAAAAGTGTGATGAAAGTACAAAGCTGAATGTAGAGATGAACGAAAAAGAGGTCTCTTTTGCAAATATCTACTGAAAAACGTTTGCTCTAAAATAATATGCTTTAATAGAAAAAATATTAGATTACATGCATAAATACAGGACAGCCTCACAAAAATATAACCTCTGACATATGACTGTTGGATAACTCAGTGGTTTAGGCCTCTAGCTGCAGAGCCAGAGGTTTGGAGTTTGATTCCCCCACTGAGCCTTCTTGACAGGGGCTGGACTCAGTGAACTATAGAGTCCCTGCTAGCTGTAAAAATTATTATTATTATTATTATTATTATTATTATTATTATTATTATTATTATTATTATTATTATTATTATTATTATTATTATTATTATTATTATTATTATTATTATTATTATTATTATNTATTATTATACTGTTTTATGGTAAACTTTCAGGAAGGTCCTGCAACATGTATAAAACTGAAGTGTTACTACTGGAGGCTCCTAAGAGTTGTCATCCACTTTGTTGGGGGTTTCCTTTCCAGGGATAAAGGGACAGAGGAGTCTGACTGGTTGTGAGAGCCACATAAACAATGTCCAAGATGATGTTGTCTGTTGGTGGTAATTTTTGGAAATTAAGAACACTCCCCCCCCGTCCTGAAGCCCTCAATGACCTCCCCATGCCAAAAGGGAGTGTAAAGGAGTCTTGGGAACTTGGGGCGGGGGGGATGATGTCATCAAGATTTCATGTTGCAAAACTTGAGCAAGATGTCATGTTTTCATTTGTCACTGGAGCTTCATAATTCAGTATTGCAGTTACAGGATGGGAGCTGTCCCGTAACTGCAGTACTGCACTTAAGGCTCTGCTCACAACCTAAGTTTGATCCTAGGTTCAGGCAGCTGGCTCAGGCTTGACTCAGTCTTCCAACCTGGTAAATAGTGTACCCAGCTCACTGGGGTGTGGTGGGGTGGGGGTGGTAATCTGTAACCTGCATACTTAAATTGCATACTGCTCACAAAGGGCTTTAACCTCAATATAAGCAGCACACCTTTTTATTCGGTGGTGCACAGATTTCAGAAGCAAGCAAGCAGGTAACCAGACAAGCAAACTAAGTCACAAAATCGATCAAACCAAAAGCAATGCATGGATAGAACTGTATAAATATACAATATGTGTGTATGAGTGTTTGTTTATGTGTGTGCTTTGCATCCATCTCTCCATTATGCTCTCATGAACTCACTGGAGGTGACTTTCTTGGTATAGCCAGTGCTGTCACATGGAACATGAAATAAATTTGTTTTCTGCTGCTCCAAAGGTTATAAATTGAACTGATGGATTCAAACGACAAAAAAAGGACAATAAAAGAATATTTTCAAGAAGAAGTTTGTGATGGCAGGGGCTGCCTGCTGATGGGAAAGTGACAGACTCTTCTTGAAGAACTGGGACGACCATTTGTCAAAGCAGCTTTATCTGTGAATTCTTCCATTGGCAGGAGATTGGGTCAGATGACCCTTGGGCCTGTTCCAACTCACCAATTCCATGAGTTCTCCGTTATACTTAAGCCCTCATTCATATTATCTCTATCTACCACCATTAAAATATTTGATTCTATCCAGTTTGGAAGCTAATCAGAAAGCATTTTGTTTTTAAACAAATCTGAAGTGTACTAAGCTTTTCCTTCAACTGAAATATAGGGCAGTGTTATGTTGTTCATGTTTCTTAACTGTTTAATGTAAATGAGAGAGCTGGTGCACCAACTAACCTCTCTTTAATTTTGTGGCTGCTGTCACCATCTGCAGTGATCAAGGAGCCCAAGAAAGTAAAATCCGTCACTGCCTCCATATCTTCCCCTTCTATTTGCCAAGAGGTGATGGGACCAGTGGCCATGTTCTTCATTTTTTTGATGTTGAGCTTCAGACCATTTTTTGCGCTCTCCTCTTTCACCCTCATTAAGGTTCCCCTTGACATTTAGTCCAGTTGTTTCCGACTCTAGGGCGCGGTGCTCATCTCCGTTTCCAACCCATAGAGCCAGCGTTTCGTCCGCAGACAATCCTCTGTGGTCACGTGGCCAGCGCGACTAGACACGGAACGCTATCA